GTAGCTCGCCATGATACCTCCACAGCGCTGCTCACGAGCAGTCGTTGTTCCTCTTCCTTCCCCTTCAGCCTCTCATCGAGCATACCCGCGAGCGCATCCCTCACCATCTCAACGATCGACTTCGGGTCTATTCCTGTTTCACTAATACCATGTTGCTCTTTGCTCTCGATGCTTCTGCTTTGCTTGGGCACATCTTGTTCAACCGAACTGCCACGGAGCACCATCGGAGGGTTTTCCAAAGTGCCCACAGAGTGAGAAGTGCTGGCGGCTTCATTCGGTCGACTTGTCTGTAAATGCTCAACCGAGGGAATATTATGACTGTCGGACCTCACATGGAACCAATGTCCTCAACAGTTGATTCAACCACTTACTCCCTAAGATTATCAGTGCGATCGACAACGACGTTCTCTCGTAGAAAAGACTGGGCTTTCTCGAGGGCCTCATCAACCATCCTAGGGACGGCACCAGCGAGAGAAGTTAGAGGGCTCTCCTAGAAGGCGATAGTTAGCCCGTCAAGAACACAATTGCTCACATCTGTGTGATCCGTCGATTGAACAGGGAGGCTGACCTTCCATGGGACTGTTTGGGTATCGAAGCTATCTCTCTGAAATACCTCAAGGTGGACTTAGACTCTCAATGAAAAAGTTATAGTTTCTACAAAAAGATGAATCGATACGATCTAAAGCAGAGTTATGCCGCTCTATATATCGCAAGCTATGTGTTGGCTTTAGGCGACTTGGTTCCAAAGCCGCCCTACTAATGCATCTTCATCGTCGATCTCTTGAGTATCAACACTTGCTCGAGCCTCCCTGAAAACATCCGGATGCTGTTTGGAGGATATCTTCATTGACGTACTTCCTTATGAACGTGTCAGAATGAATTACACTACGATCACCATCGTGTGGTCGATAGGGCGAAATAGATGGTGACCAGCCGCCTTCTACAAAAAGAGCCTTCTAACATGAAGTACGTCTTGAACATACCATCAGCATCAAGATCCCACTCAGACCGAGAAGCACTGGTTGTGTTTTCTCCGACGATTGCGAAAGACTTGGGGTCGTCCATAGGGGAGTAGACAATAACGGGCTCACAGACACCGATTCGGAGAGGTTGTTCCTAGAGACCGATCACACAACACCAAAGTTCGATGAAGAGACATACACTTATAAAGAAGGAGCAAGATCATCGATTTTTAGATCCAGCGACCATCGAATTCGATGCTCATCGACTCGTTACAGTCACCAAAGCGGCTTTCCGAGACGATAACAACAATTATTAGTGACTGATAAGTGGATGACCACACAATACGTCAGATCCCCAATGCTCGCCGTAGCTCTCGTTCAAGGGACTCGGGAATGTGCTTGTAGAAGATGCCTCCTGCTTCGTCCCAGTACATCTGAGGATACAAATCGAGCGATCCTCAGCGTTCTTCGCATAACACAGAGCAGCAGAATTAATCGTCGCACCTCGAGCCCACTAGTCCTGTCACGCAGGAGCCCTTCCATGTGCTGCTGCTGCTCTCCATTGGTGACACCATAACAGTTACCTCGCCGTGTAACCACTAGGTAATGGGGCGCCTGGCGAGACGATCACAGGGGCCGCTATGCCCTCCGCTATGGACTATACCATTCAGAGATCTATTTGGGGCGGCCGAATAGGGGAGGGGCCGCTATGCCCTCCGCTATGGACTATACCATTCAGAGATCTATTTGGGGCGGCCGAATAGGGGAGGGGCCGCTATGCCCCCCGCTATGGACTATACCATTCAGAGATCTATTTAGGGCGGCCGAATAGGGGAGGGGCCGCTATGCCCCCCGCTATGGACTATGCCATTCAGAGATCTATTTAGGGCCGAATAGGGGAGGGGCCGCTATGCCCCCCGCTATGGACTATACCATTCAGAGATCTATTCAGGGCGGCCGAATAGGGGAGGGGCCGCTATGCCCCCCGCTATGGACTATACCATTCAGAGATCTATTCAGGGCGGCCGAATAGGGGAGGGGCCGCTATGCCCCCCGCTATGGACTATACCATTCAGAGATCTATTTAGGGCGGCCGAATAGGGGAGGGGCCGCTATGCCCCCCGCTATGGACTATACCATTCAGAGATCTACTTAGGGCGGCCGAATAGGGGAGGGGCCGCTATGGCCGCCACCTCTCATCCCCCATCGAAGGATTAAAAAGCTGTTATGTGAGTAGCTGCAATCACATGATATCATCCGATGATAATCATCGTCCTATAAACGAACAGCAGTTATGTGCATTTAAATGGTTGTCAGCTCAACAGATTCAGTTGGCTCTCGAATGCTCGTATGCTTGTTCTTACCCTATCCAGAGTTATCCTGATGAGCTTCACTCCCCCATCCTGACTGACCGCTCGTTCGAGATCCCGAGTGAGATTACGAGGCAGACGGCCGTATGTTAGGACTCCTTTGCCGTCGGAG